CAAACTTTCCTCGGGCATTGTAATTTGTGACAGACAAATGGCTTGAAGACGTAAGAAAGAAGAAAGAGGAAGAGCAAAGAGCAGACGCATCGTCGCTTTCATCTCTGCTTTACCTTTCTACCTTTTTATTATTATTAATATTTTTCTTTGAAAACCAAAGTAAATGTTGTTCTTAAAAGACCCTCTCTGCTGAAGATTGGAATCATTATGCTCGTTTGGGAAATTAGAGAAAGGGCAGAAATGAAAAACTTGGAGAAATTTTGAAAATCTCACCTTCTCTTGATCTCACAAAGCTTTCAAAATTTTCCTTATTTTTCATGCAAATTTTCATTTTCACTATGTCGACTGCTCACACCTCCCATCTCCCACTCGCATCGCTCGTACGGTCGAATAGTACAATTTAGTTGCACACTGTAAGAGCTTTTCAATGGCACACAATTTATCAAATTAGACGACCGGATCTCTAGATATTGCGACTTTTAACCATTTCAATATAAATGAAGTCAGACAAACTAAGGCTTTGACGGATCGACATGATTCGTTAGCTTTCCAATGTCTTGAGAATCGCCTCAATCGGAGCTTTCACGAGCAAGTTATTGTGAATTTTCACAAACGAAGGCAATAGAAGTGCTCCACCGGTGGCGACTATGGGGAAGTACGGAAGTTGGCTCAGATGGCTCTGGATGGAGGCGGAAGAATTTTTTAATCGAAAAGATGAACCATGTCATGTTGGCTCTCGAACTTTTGACCGTTGCACAAAATCAACCTCGGTCTTAAAAGATCTCCATAGATAGCCGCGAGAACCAATGCAAAAGTGAACAATTTCTTTATTATAAATATGCAAAACGATAAATAATTTTAGATTGAAAACGCTAATTATAATCGAAGAAAAGCTAAAAAAGAAGCAAAAAATCCTTTTACTGTTATCAATGATTGTGCTGATCTTTTTAGTATTTTAGCTGATTTATTATTTCCTTCTAATTTAGTTTCCTCTCAATTTTTCTCTATTGATTTTCATTTTTTTACGGCAATTAACGGTAAAAGAAAGATTTCCTACACAAAATGATATGAAAATATACTTTCACCGATGGAAAATCACATGCATTGCTCATATTGACGTGGTTTTAACTCCCAAAATACAATTAACTAGTATTACAACTGATAATGATCCTTCCAAATAAGATGACTTATCCTTTTTTAAGGGATAATTGCAACAGAAGTCCATACTACAAAATTACAGTTGAAATCCTAAAACTTTAAAAAAGTGCAATAAAGTCCTACAACTTATCAAATTAGTAATTTCAAATCTATCTATTAAATTTGTTCACTTTGATTAACGGAATTGTTTTTTGAATTTTTCAAAAGGAGAGGGGCTGTATCAACCACGTCAGCCATTTTAGAAAAAAAATTTAAAATAAGTTATAAAGAAAAGCAGAAAGGAGGCGCTCGTGGCCATGGCTGCTCCAGCTTCATAGAGCTTGACTATGGCCCCCAACTAAACCTGTTAAAATGGTTCATGGACATATTTCTTAACCTATATTTGATAGGCTGGGTTGTTAAACAAGCTAATTATATTCTAGAAATAGGTCATGAATGGGTTGAGAATGGTGAAGCTCAAAATGTTATGGGTGTTAAATAGGTTCATAATTTTCTTAGACCCAACTCACCTCTATAACTCTTTCCTCACTCTCTTTAGCCCTCATTCGATCTCGCACTCCCTCAATCCGTGCTCTTACATGAATTTGCGCATAAGTTTTTTTAGATTTTGTTAAATATATAAATATTTTAGAAATATGAGTTGGGTCGGGTATGAGTTACTAGATTTATATTACATGAAAATTAGTCAAAATGGATTAAATGAGTCAATTTGGATTCGATCATTTTTCGACCTGATCTGACCCGACCCACTGGTTTGACGGATCAACTCCCCACCATGGCCGCTTGAGTTTCGTCGAGCTCAACCGTGGCTGCTCCAACTTCTAAGCTTTATAGTCGCTCCAGCTTCCAAACTTCTTCAAGCTCATGGACATGGTTGCCTCCAAATCCCATCTGTCTCCCTCTTCGTCGCCACCATGGTAAGCCTTTCTCTTCTATTCGTCTATATGTTTCCATGGAGTCGATGATCTCGGCAACTTGTTTGCAGCTGATGAATAAAAAAAGAGAATGTATTACCAAAAAAATAAATAAATAGAGAATGAACGAAGAAGATGAACACTAAGGGTGTGTTTGTTCAAGGGAAATTGTTTTCCAGGAATCCGTTTTCCGTACTTTCATCCATTTGGTTCGCCGAAAATAATAAGTCAACCAAAAACACTTTCCGATCAAGAAAAACATTCTTGTCTAAAATTAGAAAAGTGAATTCCCTAATCTTAAAAAGTGAAAACACTTTCAGGAATTGCTCATATTGAATTGTTACTATTTTATTCTTTTCTTTTTTTTTCTTGTCTTTCTTTTTCTTTTTTCCTTCTTCCGCCCTCTGCTGGTCGTTGGCCTCGACGACAGGCACAAGCTCGGGTTGGCAAAACAAATGCATTTTGAAATCATTTTTCAAATGAGATCCAAACACCATAAAACCTTTTCAATCACATATCACCAAATAAAGGAAAACTAACAATTTTCCTAAAAGTTAATTTCTCGGAAAATATTTTTCAAAAACGTTACGTTTTCCGTGAAACAAACGCACCCTAAATTGGTTTCCCTTACCCACCAAAAATTGCAACAACAAATAATTAGTTCTATTTAACGTAAAGAGAAGATGAACTTTTAAAAAGAATTAGTTTTATTTAACGTTCTGAAGAACATGAACAGTGCTTATTTCGTGAAGGTCTAACTATTGAATAATCATTATTAATGATTCAAATTGATTTAGTCGATAAAGCGAAGAAGATATACACAGTAAGACTCCTTCGTTTTTTATGAACTAATTGTTTTTTCTTCTTTTTATAGTTTTTTGTCCTTTTTTCTTTATTATAATTTTTTTTCCTGAAATGGTGCTTGATGGACGTCACATTAGTGTCACGTGCTTTAAGAAATTAGTAAAACAGTCGCGTCGATATTTTTCGTTAATCAATTAGATAAAATTGACTGAGCGATTTAATTATACTGATTTTTCATATTTTAAAATTTGATCGCACTTTCTGAATATTTTGAAATTTAATTGCACTTTCAATAAATTTTAGGATTACTAATGCATTTTTTTATTCCTGTGACATCACTTACCTCACCTCAATATATTTTGACATAAGAACATCCATTGCTGCGTTTTCGTACACGCTAAACTTTCCTCGGGCATTGTAATTTGTGACAGACAAATGGCTTGGAGACGTAAGAAAGAAGAAAGAGGAAGAGCAAAGAGCAGACGCATCGTCGCTTTCATCTCTGCTTTACCTTTTTACCTTTTATTATTATTATTATTTTTCTTTGAAAACCAAAGTAAATGTTGTTCTTAAAAGATCCTCTCTACTAAAGATTGGAATCATTATGCTCGTTTGGGAAATTAGAGAAAGGGGAGAAATGAAAAACTTGGAGAAATTTTGGAAATCTCACATTCTCTTGATCTCACAAAGCTTCCAAATTTTTTCCTCATTTTTCATGCAAATTTTCATTCTCACCGCGTTGACCGCTCACACCTCCCATCTCCGGCCGCGTAATGCCACCACTCGCATCGCTCGTACGATCGAATAGTACAATTTAGTTGCACATTAGAAGAGCTTTCCAGTGGCAAACAATTTGGCAAAGTAGTGACCAAATCTCTAGATATTGCGATTTTTAACCAGTTCGATATAAATGAAATCAGACAAACTACAGCTTTCACGGATCGATGTGATTCACTAGCTTTCCAATGTCTTGAGAATCGACTCAATCGGAGCTTTCTCAATCAAGTTATTGTGACTTTTCACATCAATGGTCCGTTGAGCTCGATTCACAGAGACCCACAAATCCCAACACTTAATCGGAAAATTAGACTACATTTATGGAATCTTCGAATCGCTAGCTTTTCGCAAGCTTAAGAATCAATTGGATCGGACGTCAATCATACTAGTTATACTCCATCAGTATTTGATCAAATTTTATTCGAAAAAATTCCACATTTTATCCTTGTACTTACGCACTTCTTCTAATTCAATCCCGACATTTTTTATTTATCTGATCAAGTCGTTTTGCTTTAGAAAACTTTCCAGTCAAGTCCCTCCTACGTCGAATCCAGCTAGCACGGCCGTTGTACTTTCATGTAATTTCGATTCTCATTTGATGAAACTGACGTGTAATAAATTATTAATGACATGACACTCGTATATGAAAATAAAAGGGACAGATATTTATCTCGACTTTTTTTAAATTAATTATCGCATTAAACTTGTTACCCCCTAATATGGTTAATTAATTGATTAATTAAATTAATTCCCCCAAAAAAAGCGCCGCGAAACCCGCGCTTTAACGTTGCCCCAAGGAGCACGACTTCCCCCCAAACGGGCGTTGACTCCCCCCTTCCCCCCCACGAGCCACCAGATCCGCTCGATTTCTTGACCGTTGCCAAAAGGCGTGGCGCCCATCCAACGGCTCTGGATCCACGGCGCCACGTGTACGTCGGCGATGGCCCCGTCGCAGCTGTCGCCCCCACTGGCACGGCTCGAGGAGAGAGCGAAACCGCGTGATTGATTGATTGATTGGCCAACTCCGGTCAAGCAAGAGGGCAAGGCGCGATGCGATCGCCACCGTCGGATCGACCCGAGGGTTCCCCGATTATTATACTACGAATCCAACGGTCGGCTCCGACGAACAGGGGCCAGTACGGAACCCCGTCGACGCGCACAGGAAACCTTCTATAAATACCGGCGATCTCGCCTTCCCATACCGCACCAGAAACCCTCAGATCATCTCTCTCACTACAGAGCTCCCAGCTTTCTCTCTCTAAGAAGCTCTTCTACACACTGTCTCTCTCTTTCTCTAGCTCTTCTTCCATGGCTGGCTCGAGCTCGAGCTCGCTGTTTCTGGCGGCAATGGCGGTCCTCCTCGTCGGCCTGGCGGTGGCGCAGGGCCCCGCCCCGTCGCCGGCCCACACCCCGTCCAAGTCCCCCCCCTCGCCGTCGCCCTCCGTGTCGCCCAAGGCGTCGCCTTCCCCGGCGACCGCGACCCCGCCGGCTTCCGCCCCGGCTCCCCACGGCCCCGCCGCCTCCCCGCCGTCGCCCCGTCGCCCCCGCCCCCGCCGCCGCCGGCCTCCGGGCCCGGGGGCCCCGCGCCGACGTCGCCCCGCCGCCGTCCATCGCGACGCCGCCGTCCGTGGCGGCCCCTCCCCAGAACAACGGGGCCGTGAGCGGCGGCAGCCTCGGCCTCGGCTTCGCCGGGTCGGTGGCGATCGGCGCCCTTGTCGCCGCCTTGGTCATATAAAGGCGGTCGCCGGATTCTTGCAGCTGCTCCTCCTCGCCGGCTACTATTTATTTCTATTTTCTTTATTTATTTATTTTGAATTTTCGTAATACTTAAATTCTTTTTTTGCGATATTTTTAGGCATAGGGAGAGAGATATGCACATTGGACATATAAGCGATCGTTACAGAGGATTGAGTATATTGTTTATGCGGAGACCGTTATTATTATTATTATTTATTTGCTAATAATATTCGTTTTTATGTATTCTCTTGGTGAATGGATATTCATTTTTTTTGTGCATATATTATTCGCGATTCTCGTTCGCCGAAACCGCGATTCGGTCTAATTGTTCCCGTGATTTCTTGAGTTTACAATAAAATAAGAAAAAATTAAAAAAAAAAAAAATTTCTATGTACTTATAAAAGGGAGGACGTCGCTAATTAATTTACCAATCTATAATTTCTAAGGGACAAAAAGTCGGTTAATAATATGTTAGTGTAGGAATAGAGCGAGAGAGCCTTGAGCGCTTGAGGATTCAATTTTTTATTCTTTTGAAAATCTTATAGCTCATTGCAAAAGTGCATAGTCCAATCGAGATTTAAAATTTATCAAATTGATGAAATCGAGTCCTTCCGTTAATCTCAAAAAAACCAAAATTTCAATTCTCCTCACAAAATGGTTAAGCCCTTTGACAAAAGAGCTTCCTCATAGGAGACAACCGCCATGGCGGCGGCAATGAGAAGAGAAGGTTCCAGTCGAAGAACGGCAGCAGCCGTGACTACTAGCGAGTAATCCGGGTTCGTGCAGGCGAATGCGAATTCGAACTCTCCGTCCTGGCCGCCCGTCTTCCTGGTCCCTTGCTCTTCCTGTTGTTGGCCTAGCTTCCTGTTCCGAAAGCATTATTGGCCTTCTTCTCTCTCGAAATTTCCTTGGCCATCTCTCTCCCAGGCCGTTGTCTTCGCGGCGAGAGACGCCGACGGTCCCCGCTCCGAACCGGCCTTCTCTCTCGAAACTACGCCGGTTTTCGCGTCGGATTTTTTGCGCATTCTCTCGGGGGGTGCGGTGGGTCGCTCGCGTCGTTGCTGAATTCAATTTGGAAATTTTGCTCACCGCTTCGTTCGATTCAATAGGGAAAAGAACTTAATGGGAATGGGGGAAAGTTTGAATGGGAATGAATAAACAAGAAAACATTTGCAAAAAAGATGATCAAAAAGCAGGTTGTTCCTTGGTAGTTGGTGGGGGAAAAGAACCAGTCACTATGAATCGGTATTATTGATTGGCTTTGTTTTGAATTTCGAATTTTTGTAATTCTTAGCTTTCTTTTTCCCTTATTTCTTTTTTTATTTTTTAAAATTTTTTTTTCGAATGTGGCGTACGATGGGCGACACATTGGCGCCGCATGCCTTAAGAAAGCATTAAGGAAAAAGCCACGTCGGTATTTCCCGTTACTCGAATTATATGGAGTTAACGGCGGGTCTTGATTGCACAAATTTGACAAGTTTTAGGACTCGATTGCACTTTTTAAAAAGCTTTCGACTCAAATTGCACTTTTGCGATAAGTTTTAAGGCTTCCGGTACATTTACCCTTTTAACTCGTAGACATAAAACAAAAATCCGTCTATTTTCGCATCAAGCTTTCGAAGGTGCTCGAGCAAACATATAAACGCCAACGGATTCAAAATTCTAATCGAGCAATCGTCCCATTTCTCTCTACATCCGATTCACATTACTCGAAAGTTTCTCCGTTCCATAAATTCAGAAATGCCGACACGAGGAACAACAGTCGATGTCATTAGAAACTGCCCCGGAACATATCATATTCGTAAAGCGGAAACATAAATGAACTCCTAGAGAGCGCGTCAAAAATATACCCGATTAATCTATGCGATTTGAATTTATTTTAGGGGCCTAACATTAGAACGTGCTGGCAAGACATGACACCCATTCTTACGAGTTACAACTGTCGCCACCACTAACCCCCCGAAACCGCGTGATTTGATTGGCCACTCGGTCAGCAAGCGCGCGATGGATCCTCCACCGTCGGATCGACCCCGAGGGGTTAATCCAACGGTCAGGCTCCGACGAGCGGAGCACCGCCCCCGGTACGGAACTCCCACCGCCGTCCGCCACCGCCCGAAGCGCAGAATTTTCTATATATACCGGCGCTCTCGCCGTCGCATACCGCACCAGAAACCCTCCGATTCTCTCTCTCACTACAGAGCTCCCAGCTTTCTCTCTCTAGGAAGCTCTTCACATATTTTCACTCTCTCTCTCTCTCTCTCTCTCTAGCTCTTCTTCCATGGCTGGCTCGAGCGCGTTGCTCTCTGTGGCGGCAATGGCGGTCCTCCTCGTCGGCCTGGCGGTGGCGCACGGCCCCGCCCCGTCGCCGGCCCACACCCCGTCCAAGTCCCCCCCCTCGCCGTCGCCCCAGGCCTCGCCCAAGGCGTCCCCGTCGCCTTCTCCGACGGCCGCGGCGACCACCCCGCCGCCGTCTCCCCACGGCCCAGCCGCCTCTCCCCCCGCCGCCCCCGTCCCCGCCGCCGTCTCCCGGGTCCGAGGCCCAAGCGCCGGTTCCTTCGCCGTCGTCGATCGCGACGCCGCCGGCCGCGGCGCCAGCTCCGGGGCACAGTGGGGCCGTGAGCGGCAGGCTCGGCTTGGGCTTCGCCGGGTCGGTGGCGATCGGCGCTCTCGTCGCCGGTCTTGTCATATAATTGGTCGCCGGATTCTTCCTGCTGCTCCTCGCCGGCTTCGATTTATTTCTTATTTCTTTTTTTTTTTAATGTGAATTTTGATAATGCTCGAATGCTTTTCTCGATATTTTTTGGCATAGAGAGATATGGACGTGGGACATATCATTACAAAGGCTTGATTATGTTGTTTATGCGGAGCTTATTATCATTTATTGCTAATAAATTTTGTTTGTTTATAAATATATCATTTCCGATTCTGATTAGCCTAAAACAAATACATTATTGACGTGCAAATCGAACTAACATTATGCCTCCTGAACGGGAAAAGAAAACAAAATTGCGATTTCGGTACAATTTTTCGCTCTCCGAACGCTGCTCTCGTCTCCGTAGAGAAATAATTTTTTCACGATTTCTTGATATTACATTAATTAATAAAATAAGAGAGGTACTTATATCTAAAGTGAAGTGAAAAAAAAAAATTCAAAGATTGAAATATATGCTTGCCAAAATGACATGGTGTGGACTGTGGATGTTGCTATTTAAATTACCAATCTATTATAATTCGTAAGGAGAAATTAAGTCGATTAATAATATGTTTGTAGGAACAGCAAGCGATGACTAGAATGATTCGAAACCTGAAAGCATTAGGACCGAAACCCAAAAGCATTGAGACCATAGTTATGTGTGATATTTTAGGCCTAAATCCTTTCAAAAGAAAAATACCAACTTTATCTCGAGTGACAATTTTAGATTGAGTTTTTTTTGGTCTTGTAAAAAATCACTGATTTTCACTTAAATCCTAAATTTGGCACAAAAAATTTGAAAATTTCATATTATGAGAGCTAGATTTTGAACTAGAGTAAAAGTTGGTTATTTTTATTAAGACAAAAATCAGAATTGTCACTCAAAGTAAATTTTGTGTGTTTTTTCCGATTTTTTATGCATTGCATCTTTTAATTTTACAAGTACTTTCACCAAAAAAGAGAGGAAAAGAATAGAAAAGAAAATCTTCATTCCATTTTGAAAATCCCACTTCGGCTGATGTACGTCATCTTTGGCTTTTTATTTGTTTTGTTTTTTCCTCACCACTTCAGTCCGTACACCAACCAGGCGACAGGCGTGTCTCCTAAGTACATAAGAGTAGAATTACGATTTCAACCTACATAGTCCAAAGTTTTTTATTCGCGAAAGTTTCACTTAACGGGGATATAAGGTTCATTCATTTTGCATCAAGCTTTCGCAAACATGTGAGAACGAATTCGAAATTGTAACCGAGCATCCTCTTTTGGTTTCTATGATCGGTTTATGACTCGAGATTTTCTCCGGCACTTTGCTAATCGAGGCCAAAATTTCGAAAATTAGAAAATGCCCGGCATGTATTGTATCGGTAAAGCGAAAACATAAATGAACTCGTAGAGTGCGAAAAATGTATTTGAATTTACTCGCACTATTGAAATAAGGGAAAAAACCACCAAAAGCCCCAAACTTTGCCATCTGTGACACATTTACCCCGAACTTTTTTTTGTGACACCAAAAATCCCGAACTTTACCTTTTGTGACACATTTACCCCAATGTATTTAGTCCATGAGCATTTTCGTCTTTTTGTATTTTCTTTTTTTTTCTTTTTTTTTTTCCTTCCGTGAGGGGGCCTCGCCGGCGACGGCGAGGGCGGCCCTCGCCACGGCGCTACGGCGAGGGTCGACCTCGCCAGACAGCGAGGGCCGCCCTCGCCGGATCTGGCGAGGGTCGCCCCTCGCTCGACGCGGCGAGGCCCCCTCGCCGGATCCGGCGAGGGGGGCGCGGCGAGGCCCCTCGCCGGAAGGAAAAAAAGGAAAAAAAGAAAAAGCAAAAAGATGAAAATGCCCATGGACTAAATAATTGGGGTAAATGTGTCACAAAAAGCAAAATTCGGGGTTTTTGGTGTCACAAAAAAAAATTTAGGGTAAATGTGTCAAGTGGTAAAGTTTGGGGTTTTTGGTGGTTTTTCCCTTGAAATAAAGAACATGCTACAATGATTCTTGCAACATAAAATTTATTTTCTTGTCTTTTTGTTAAAACCCCTTCACTTTAGTCTACTAATAGTGAGTTAAATTTATAAGAAAATTTAAAACCCCACGATGCCTTTATTTAAAAATATATAAATTAGAACGACCTCATCAATAAACAAGAAAAAAAATAAACATGGATTAACTGCTCATGTCACCTCAAAAGATGCTAGCACGGTATGATTCACAAGAACACACCCAAAAACCTGCATTTTGCACATACAAGTTCTTCCCCTACACCTAGCCATAGTTTGCTAAAAATGGAATGACCCGGAAAGACGGTTAAGCGCTCAATTCGGTCCCCATCCCCACCTCGACAGCGTTCGGGGGTCCATCCCGATTTCTCGAAAACACACAGGTGTCATACCGGAAAAATGTGCCGAATTAGACTTCGTTCCTGTTAGTACTTTCACTAATGAAGAGAGGAATCGACCGATCCCCCAAGATTTGGAGGATATTCCATTCGGCTTCTTCCCGAAGGAGATCATTCACCTACCCTCCACCTGTAATGTGAAAAGAGAGAGACAATGCGCAAAGAGGAGCTTGAGCAAAATATTCGGCAGTGTTTACACCAAAAAGTGAAAAAAAATCATGGAAATAGGCATCGGGAGCTTTGGCGTCGGTAACTTACCGATAGTTCGCAACTTACCGATAGTGGGTGAGCAGAGGATCGGCATCAGCAACTTACCGATAGTTAGATGTCAATAACAAAACTGCTTATGGATAAGGGTGGTTATTTGAACGTGGAGAATGCCTAGAAAATAGGAAGATAATAACCAAGCTACTTTTTATTTAAAATTTAAAAGTTGTAAACGCTTGTACGAGATTATAAATCAAAAAAATCAACAGAACTCACGTTCTTTATCAGTTTATCTTTCTTTTATCTTTACATTTCCTGCACTCGTACCTTTACATTTGGCCAATGCCATTATTTTCCTGCAATTTACAAGCTTTAATTCTTTAGGAGTAGTTCTAATTCTCATATTCACGTCGCCGAGTCGTCCTCCGATATGAATCTTCATCCTTGGTGCATTGTCGTCGAGTCAAATCCTGGCGTAGTACCGCCGCTCTTTCAAGCTTCGTCCTCGAGTCAAATTCCGTCGAAGTTTGTTTCGATAGTACTTCCTAAACTTTTCCGTCGAGTCAAACTCCGGTTTGGTTTAGGTTTGTACAATTCTACGTTGATTTTTATGATCGCTTGGATATTTCCTGTCAAATCACCACAGAACCCGTCCTTCGATTAAAAGCCGAAGATCCATTTTCGGTGTTTGTTTCCTTACGGATTAAATTACGGAGAAACAGGCAGCCAGATGAATGTAGAGGTAGACGAGCGTGTAATACCGTACCTATGAGTTACTAATCATCCTCCAGATATTTGTGCATGTGTCAAAGGCAGTCATCTTTGTCGAGTCGAACTCAAATCTATCCACCACCCTTTTCTCCCGGTCAACAATATCTGCGGTTATTGAGATTCAAGGAGCAATTGATCTGGGGACAACCGTGAAACTCTAGTCAGTGCCACTGCATTGGAGTACATGAACAAGAAAAATTGAAAGGATACATCCTGAAATTTTGGAGCCGTCACCCAAGTTGGGGATGATATTAGTCACAGAAGCATACATCGAAAGGCTCATCCTGTGAAATCAGGTAAAAGTAGAGGATATTAATTTTGGATTAACACGAGAGAATCTTATTGTGCGTGTACATCGAGCATGAGACCGCAAAAGAGCACAAATGGGAAGAAGGCTATGTTGAATGAGTCATGCTGTACGATCAATTTAAAAGAAAGCAAAATAGCTTTGAGCCTCACATCATGCAAATTTCATTGCCTATTCCTGCACAAGAATGCACAAAGACAAGCTCAAACCAACGTAAGCACTCATGCACATGGCACGCACATCCTTAGAGTGCACAAGAACGAAGGATTTAAGGATATGATCAGATAAAACATATATACTAGAAACAAGAAAACATGTACACTTGATGCATTGGCCACAAATGTGGGTCATATTCATTCTGGCTCGTTCTTAAGCTACACTTCAGGGTTCAAAACACATTTGGACTAACAATCATGAAACTTTCACAATGTCGTTCAAATTATGATAAGGTAGCAGCTTAAAAAGAGATTATTTTCTGGACCTACATGGCTTGGACAGCATGTTCTTACTTCTTAGCTACTGCTCATTGCGCTTTCCCTTCTTTCTTGCATTTTAGGGGGTTAAGTCGTTGAAAGAATAGTATTTAGGCTTCAGCGCTTGGAGGACCAGATGTATACAACTCCTAAAGCAAAGGAGCATGCTGTTTCGAAATAAGAAGACAGGCTGCAACATCCGAACAAGCAATCTTACTCTGCAAGAAACTATCCTCCATTTTGACTACTTACAACTAGAGGTGACCATAAGATTGGTAGATCAATGCTAGCTAGTTTGTTGATTTTGGGGAAGCAGTAGGTACTAGCAGATGGTTTGATACTGAAAAGCACCAGTAGATAAATATTATAGACGTACCCATGCTGGCAAGCGAGCAAGCATGAGAGAGAGAGAGAGAGAGAGAGAGAGAGAGAGAGAGAGAGAGAGAATTACATATTGGGGTTTTATGGAGGGGAAGGAATAGGAGATTTACTTTTTAAGAGTGGAATATTAATTAGACTTCTCTATGTGCGAATTAATGCTGAAGATCGGGTAAAGCACACTTCTCATTGATGCTTGTATAAAAATCTGCAGCCCCTTACACCCCTCTTCAATGGTAATAGAGTTATAGCAAAAAGGACACAGGAGACAATTTTCCAGTAAGCTCAAATATTGGACTACGAACAAGGAAAACGCACGCAAGCTGCCAACTACATCCTAATAATGCACAAATGTGTAGGACTCAGCCAATGCCACTAACCTCATCCTAACCCGTCATTTAACAGAGATCAGCTTTAGTAGCACAAACATGATTGGGCTGTCTAGCATTTTAAACTTCTTGTGTTAATCACATGAATGTCTCTTTGCCCATTTTAAACTTCATCATGTCTCTTTGCCATGGTTCACTAATGCATTAAATGACTATTAGACTTTTGAGCTCATTTCATGATGGCATTTGTCTTTTCTTCATAGCTTTACCTCCTCTGCAAGTATTGGCCCTCAATAAATGGAGACGTCCTCACGTGAGGAAGCCCTTCTCTCATGCCCACACACATACACACACGCCCACCACAACACTCACCGACCATCCTTCTTCCTCTTGCTTTGTTTGGCCAACTATGAAGCCACATTAGAAATCTGCCCGAGACCTCATTTTTCCCATACTCAAGCCTTTTCATGCTCAAACCACACGTCACTTGCCTTCTTTCTTCTCACGTATTCTCACGTGTTCTAATGTTACATTGAATAAGTGAATTCCCTAATATCGGAAAAGAAAATTGCGATGCGTTGTAATATGATTTGCTTGGACCGTTTCTCTGTTATTTGATCGATTATAGCTTGTTCTTTCTTTGGCCAGTGATGTTTCCGCTTGACAATTATGTTTGATGTTCTTTTGTTGTTTCGTAGCATGAATCTTGTTATTGATTTGCCATCGATGTCGGTATAGTAAGAGTCAATTTATGTTAACGGCGATTGTTTCGTCCTCGCTTGATATTAGTGTTTTCACTTATTGAGTCTTCTTGACTCACTTCCCGTTGTTTTCTATTTTCAGGTCCGTAAGATGACGTCTCCCCCGACCCAGTTTGGTAACCTCGTGGACATGAGAGTCGAGCTACTCACGGTAATAGATACCCGAGAAGGTCGCGCCTATCGTTGAATCACGACGTATGTTATGGTAGATGAAGGCCATGAGGACTTGGTTCCTCACCCGTACGTGACATGGTATCGCCTCGCGAACGAAGATTGGGTTGGACCCCTATGTGGGTTTAATAGGCCGTTTGGCAGAACAGGCGGACCGACTCCAGGGCAGGCCATGGGCGAGGCGTGAGACGGTCGGACGGACAGGGAGCGGGAAGCCGTAGTGGACTTAGGGACCCCAAGCCAAAGTTTTGTTTGTCCGATAGTTGGCTTGTTTTTCGGAATCGCCCTTGAAATGGGCATGCAAAATATATGTGTGCGGTTTGCATGGCCCGATAGTAAAGCCTGTGAAGATAAGCACGTACCATGTAAATACAACATGCGATGCTTGCTCATATTACTCATGTTGTTTTGTTTGTTTCTATTTGCTTCTGCTTACGCATTAATTAAAATGAACGGGACGCACTAATTTATTTCCGCGAGTCACGAGTCCGAACGGGTCGGGATTGATTAATAAGCATCAATCTTGATTCCGGGTCGGGACGTGACACCGACCTTCTCTGTCGAATCTTTGCCGGTTTCGCCTCGGATGTTTTGCGCATTCTCTCGGGGAGGCGCGGTGGGTCGCGGGTCGCTTGCATCGTCGCTAAATTCAATTCGGAAATTTTTTCTCACTGACTTTGTTCAATCCAATAGGAAAAGAACTTAATGGGAACGGGAGAAGTTTGAATGGGAATGAGCACTTGATCCTCGGTAGTATTGATTGGCTTCATTTTGAATTTTGAATTTATGTAATTCTTAGCTTTCTTTTTCCTATTTTTTATAAATTTTTTCTTCTTTTTAAATTTGCAAAAAAATGATCAAAAGCAGCTTGATCCTCGATGTCGGTAGAAACGCCCCGGAAGTTTCCGGGCCGGAACATATCGTATCGGTAAAGCGGAAACATAGATGATGAACTCCAGAACCGCGTCAAAAACATACCCAATCAGGATGCTACAGAGTTGTACCCGATCACAACTGTCGCCGCTACTAAACCACCCCCCGCCAAAACCCGCGTGATTTGATTGGCCAGTCGGCCAGCAAGCGCGCGAAGAATCATCCACCGTCGGATCGACCCCGAGGGGTGAATCCAACGGTCAGGCTCCGACGAGCAGAGCACCCACCCCCAGTTCGGAAGTCCCGGCACCATCCGGCCGCCACCGCCCGAAGCGCCAAAAACCTTCTTTAAATAGCGCCGCGCTCGCTGTTGCCATCGCATATCGCACCAGAAACCCTCAGATTCTCTCTCTCTCACTAGAGCTCCCAGCTTTCTCTCTCTAGGAAGCTCTTCACACACTCTCTCTAGGTCTTCTTCCATGGCTGGCTCGAGCTCGCTGCGCTCTCTGGCGGCAATGGCGGTCCTCCTCGTCGGCCTGGCGGCGGCGCAGGGCCCCGCCCCGTCGTCGGGCCACACCCCGTCCAAGTCCCCCCCCTCGCCGTCCCCCACACCTCCCCGTCGCCTTCTCCAATTGCGACTACCATTCCCCAAGTACTGGCCCCGTCTCCGCCGCCCCACACCGCTTCCCCCGTCAGCCCCGCCCCCCCGGTCACCCCCGCCCCCCACCGCCTCCCCTGTCAGGCCCGCCCCCCACCGCCCCCGCTTCCCGAGCTCGGGCCCCCGCGCCGCCTTCTCCGACCACCCCGCCGGCTTCCGCCCCGTCTCCCCACGGCCCCGCCGCCTCTCCCCCGCCGCCCCCGTCCCCGCCGCCGTCTCCCGAGCCCGGGGCCCACGCGCCGGTACCTCCGCCGTTGTCGATCGCGAGGCTGCCGGCCGGGGAGCCAGCTCCGGGGCACGGCGGGGCCTGAGCGGCAGGCTGGCGCCTCCCGCGCCCGGGCCTCCCGCGCCGTCGCCCTCCGTCTCGCCCAAGGCGTCCCCGTCGCCTTCTTCGACCACCCCGCCGGCTTCCGGCCCGTCACCCCACGGCCCTGTCGCCTCTCCCCCGCCGCCCCCGTCCGTCGCCGCCGTCTCCCGCGCCCGGGGCCACCGCGCCGGTACCTTTGCCGTTGCCGATCGCGACGCCTGCCGGGGAGGCGGCTCCCGGGCACAGCGGCAGGCTCGGCTTCGGCTTTTCCGGGTCGGTGGCGATCGGTGCCCTCGTCACCGGTCTGGTCATATAAGCGATCGCCGGATTGTTGCTGCTACTCCTCGCCGGCTACTGTTTATTTCTTTTTCTTTTTTTTAATGGGAATTTGCATAGATGCTCAAATGCTTTTCTAGATAGTTTTTTTGACAATCCGGCGAGGAGCAGCAGATATGGCGACTGAGAGAAGATGGAGGTGTCGACCCAGATATGGCGACAGGACCTCCTCTTGAGAGTCCTCACTTCTTCAAGATCATTCTCTCCGACACCCTCGAATCTGGGAAGCTCGCCCTGATAATCTGTTCGTCACACCGAGGCCTCTGAATGCAGCTTTGGTGGACGTGTTTTTGGCAAAGTTTTTGGTTGGAGTGTTCGTAGGGGGTTGTGTTCGAAGTATGAGTGTTCTTCAAGTACATGTTTGGTTGGAGTGTGCGTTGATGATTAGGTCAAAAAGCAGGGAAAACAAGCTGATACCGCGTAGCTCCGAGCTCAACTCGATGCGAACTCCATGTTGTTTTTAGAGTATAGTTTTCCACTGTGGTTGATATTATTGCTGCTATATATGTATGAAGTGGCACTAGTGAGAACATCATGTACTTCACTAGTCTTCTATTACGTGGAAAATGCGATTTGTACATCGCATATTCTGTTTCAGGATTTGCTCTAGTGAATGGTCTGTAGTTTTCTATTTCAAACCGTCTTTCTTTTTGTTGGTGGTCATTTTAGGATAAGATATAGTTCTTGCAGTACGGGTGGTTTGCTCTTTCTTTGGATCGATTGATTGTTAACTTAGCTTGAGTTACCCATACGATATCGGGCTAGTTAAATCTGAGTTACAAAATGGGTTTAGCCTATAGTTCTTTGTAAGTTGTATTTTAGGTCAAATTTATAAGTATTTTAATTTATAGGTTTTTTTTTGCATTTTTTACTTTATTTAATAATTTTTTTATTATTTATTTTGTTTTTTTAATTTGATGTGGAGTTTTTATTCAAATAACATATACATGTGAAGAGCTTAAAGTGAATTAAATGGGTGGGTATGAGTTTTCTTAAAATATTAATGTGTTCTAGTAAGATAGGTTAGGTCAGGTATGGGTCGGATCGGATCGGGTATGAGTCACTATATTTGCATTGCATGAAAATGGGTTAAAATGGGTTAAATGGGTCAAATATGAATCGATCCATATTCGACCCGATCCAAACTTGACTCGATCCACCAGTTTGACGGGTCTAGACATGTCATTACAGAGGTTTGATTATGTTGTATATGTGGAAATTATTATTATTTATTTGCTAATAAAATTTGTTTGTTTATATATCATTTCCGATTCTGATTCACCTAAAACAAATACATTGTCGATGAGTAAATTGAATTAATATTATGCCTCGTGATTGGGAAAAGAAAACAAAATCGCGATTTTGGTACAATTTTTTGCTGTCCGAACGCTACTCTTGTCTCAACAGACAAATAATTTTCCCACAATTTCTTGATATTACATTTAAATAACGAAATAAGAGAGGTACTTATATCTAAAATGGAGCGAAAAAAAATCAAAGACTGAAATATATACTTGCCAAAATGACACGGTGTGGACCGTGGATGTTGCTATTTAATCACTAATCTATAATTCGTAAGGAAAATTTAAGTCAATTAATAATATGTTTGTAGAAAGAGCGAGTGATGACTGGAATGGTTTGAAACCCGAAAGCATTAAGACCAAAGTTATGTGTAATTTTTTATGCATCCCATCTTTTAATTTCACATTAGAAAATTCTACTTTGGCCGATGTAATTTATTGTTAGATTTTTCTTTTAAGGTACGTTTTTTCTCACAACTTTGGTCTGTACACCATCCAAAGCGCGGTTCCTAAGTACATAAGAGTGGAATTACGATTTTAACCTTCATTGTCTAAAGATTTTATTCACGAAAGTTTCGTTTCATTTATTCAGTGACTAGAATTAAACGGGGATATATAGCTCGGAGAGGTTCGAACAAAGGTTCGTTCATTTTGCATCAAGCTTTTGCAAACATATGAGAACGAATTCGAAATTGTAACCGAGCATCCTCCTTTGTGTTTTCATGACCGGTTTGTAACTCAAGAGTTTCTCCGGCACTTTGCTAATTGAGGCTAAAATTTCGAAAATTAGAAATGCCCAGGATGTATCGTATCCATAAGGCAAAAACATAAATGAACTCCTAGAGTGCGAAATATGCGTTTGAATTTATTTGCGCTATTAGAAGAAAGAACATGCTATAATGATTCTTGCAACATAAAATTTATTTTCTTGTCTTTTTGTTAAAAACCCCTTCACTTTAGTCTACTAATAGTGAGTTAAATTTATAAGAAAATTTAAAACCCATGATGCCTTTATTTAAAAATAAATAAATTAGAACGACCTCATCAATAAAAGAGAAAAAAATAAACATGGATCAACTACTCATGTCACCTCAAAAGATGCCAGCACGGTATGATTCACAAGAACACACACAAAAGCCTGCATTTTGCACATACAAGTTCTTTCCCTACACCTAGCCATAGTTTGTTAAAAACGAAATGACCCAGAAAGACGGTTAAGTGCTCAATTCCGTCCCCATCCCCACCTCGACAGCGTTCGGGGGTCCATCCCAATTTCTCGAAAACACACAGATGTCATACAGGAAAAAAGTGATGTTTTGCACTTCGTTCCTGTTAGTACTTTCACTGATGAAAAGAGCAATCAACCGATCCCCCAAGATTTGGAGGATATTCCATTCGGCTTCTTCCCGAAGGAGATCATTCACCTACCCTTCACCTGAAATGTAAAAAGAGAGAGACAATGCGCAACACGGAGCTTGAGCAGAATATTCAGCAGCCAGATGAATGTAGAGGTAGACGAGCGTGTAATACCGTACCTATGAGTTACTAATCATCCTCCAGATATTCGTGCATGTGTCAAAGGCAGTCATCTTTGTCGAGTCGAACTCAAACTTATCCACCACCCTTTTCTCCCTGTCAACAATATCTGCGGTTATTGAGATTCAAGGAGCAATTGATCTGGGGGACGACCGTGAAACTCTAGTCAGTGTCACTGCATAGGAGTACACGAACAAGAAAAATTGAAAGCATACATCCTGAAATTTTGGAGCCGTCACCCAAGTTGGGGATGATATTCGTCACAGAAGCATACATAGAAAGACTCATCCTGCGAAATCAGGTAAAAGGAGAGGATGTTAATTTTGGATTAACACGAGAGAATCTTATTGTGCGTGTACATCGTGCGAGAGACCGCAAAAGAGCACAAATGGGAAGAAGGCTATGTTGAATGAGTCATGCTGTACGATCAATTTAAAAAAAAGCAAAATAGCTTTGAGCCTCACATCATGCAAATTTCATTGCCTATTCCTGCACAAGAATGCACAAAGACAAGCTCAAACCAACGTAAGCACCTCATGCACATGGCATGCACATCAGTAGAGTGCATAAGAACGAAGGATTTAAGGATATGATCAGATAAAACATATATACTAGAAGCAAGAAAACATGTACACTTGATGCATTGGCCACAAATGTGGGTCATATTCATTCTGGCTCGTTCTTAAGCTACACTGCAGGGTTCAAAACACATTTGGGCTAACAATCATGAAACTTTCACAATGTCGTTCAAATTATGATGAGGTAGCAGCTTAAAAAGAGATTATTTTCTGGACCTACATGGCTTGGACAGCATGTTCTTACTTCTTAGCTACTGCTCATTGCGCTTTCCCTTCTTTCTTGCATTTTAGGGGGTTAAGTCGTTGAAAGAATAGTATTTAGGCTTCAGCGCTTGGAGGAGCAGATGTATACGACTCCTAAAACAAAGGAGCATGCTGTTTCGAAATAAGAAGACAGGCTGCAACATCCGAACAAGCAATCTTACTCTGCAAGAAACTATCCTCCATTTTGACTACTTACAACTAGAGGTGACCATAAGATTGGTAGATCAATGCTAGCCAATTTGTTGATTTTGGGGAAGCAGTAGGTACCGGCAGATGGTTTGATGCTTAAAAGCACCAGTAGATAAATATTATAGACGTGCCCGTGATGGCAAGCGAGCAAGCGAGAGAGAGAGAGAGAGAGAGAGAGAGAGAGAGAGAGAGAGAGAGAGAGAATTATAAATTTGGGGTTTTATGGAGGGGAAGGAATAGGAGATTTACTTTAAGAGTGGAATATTGATTAGACTTCTCTATGTGCGAATTAATGCTGAATATCGGGTAAAGCACACTTCTCATTGATGCTTGTATAAAAATCTGCAGCCCCTTACACCCCTCTTCAATGGTAATAGAGTTATAGCAAAAGGACACAGGAGACAATTTTCCAGTAAGCTCAAATATTGGACTACGAACAAGGAGAACGCACGCAAGCTGCCAACTACATCCTAATAATGCACAAATGTGTAGGACTCAGCCAATGCCACTAACCTCATCCTAACCCGTCATTTAACAGAGATCAGCTTTAGTAGCACAAACATGATTGGGCTGTCTTTTCTTCATGGCTTTACCTCCTCTGCAAGTATTGGCCCTCAATAAATGGAGAAGTCCTCATGTGAGGAAGCCCTTCTCTCACGCCCACACACATACACGCCCACCTACAACACCCACCGACCATCCTTCTTCCTCTTGCTTTATTCAGCCAACTATGAAGCAACGTTAGAAACCTGCCCGAGACCTCGTTTTTCCTGTACTCAAGCCTTTTCGTGCTCAAACCACACATCACTTGCCTTCTTTCTTCTCACGTATTCTAGTGTTACATTGAGTAAGTGAATTTCCAAATATCGAAAAAGGAAGTTGCGATACGTTGTAACATAGTTTGCTTGGGCCGTTTCACTGTTATTTGGTCGATTATAGCTTGTTCTTTCTTTGGCCAGTGATGTTCCCGCTTGACAATTATGTTTGATATTTTTTGTTGTTTCGTAGCATAAATCTTGCTATTAATTTGCCATTGATGCCGGTACGGTAAGAGTCAATTTATGTGAACGGCGATTGTTTTATCCTCGCTTGATATTAGTGTTTTCACTTATTGAGTTTTCCCGACTCACTTCCCGTTGTTTTCTATTTTCAGGTCCGTAAGATGGCGTCTCCCCCGACCCAGTTTGGTAACCCTATGGACATGAGAGCCGAGCTACTCACGGTAATAGATACCCGAGAAGGTCGCGCCTATCGTCGAA